TGTGTCTGATCCTCTTGCTGTCCCACTGGAGCTCGGTGTCTGACAGTAATGTCTGCTACATGTCCAACCCTCTCCCAGTGGACTCAGTATCTGGCAGTCATGCCTGCCGTGTGTCAAGTCCTCTCCCAGTGCACTCAGTGTGTGACAGTAATGTCTGTCTGATTCTCTCCATCTTCCACTGGAGCTCAGGATCTGACAGTAATGTCTGCCGTGTGTCCAATCCTCTCCCAGTGCACTCAGTATCTGACAGTAATGTCTGCCGTGTGTCCAATCCTCTCCCAGTGGACTCAGTATCTGACAGTAATGTCCGCTGTGTGTCCAATCCTCTCCCAGTGCACTCAGTGTGTGACAGTAATGTCTGTCTGATTCTCTCCATCTTCCACTGGAGCTCAGGATCTGACAGTAATGTCTGCTGTGTGTCCAATTCTCTCCCAGTGCACTCAGTATCTGACAGTAATGTCTGCCGCGTGTCCAATCCTTTACCAGTGCACTCAGTGTGTGACAGTAATGTCTGTCTGATCCTCTCCCTCTCCCAGTGGAGCAGGAGCGGGATTTCTTCCAACCGCGCCCGTACTGGAAGGAGTTCCGGTTCGACCTGACGCCGCTCCCCCAGGGAGAGACGGTGACGGCCGCCGAGTTCCGCGTCTACAAGACCCTGAGCCTGGGGCCCCGCGGGAACCGGACCTTACACATCAGTGTGTACGAGATCGTGAAGCAGAACCGCCACAGGTGACTGTGGGGAGGGGTGGGAGGGGCAGGAAGGGGGAAGGGCAGTGGGTGAGTGGGACAGAGGGGGGACAGAGGAGGGACAGAGGGAGGTGGGTGGGGTAGAGACGGAGCAGAGGAGAGAGAGAGATTGCCGGTCCTTCACCGAGCCCCACGGTCTCCGCCTGTTCCCTCCCTTCCAGGGAGCCAGAGCTGGTGCTGCTGGACCTGCAGTCGGTGCCGGGCGGACAGGAGGGCTGGCTGGTGTTCGATGTGACTGCGGCCACTAACCGCTGGCAGCAGAACCCGCACAGCAACCACGGGCTCCGACTGTACGCCGAGACGGAGGAGGGTGAGTGGGGGTGCCGCGGCAACATGGTGGGGTATAGATACAGTCTGGGGGTCCGGGGAACACAGGTGGATATTGGTAGCAATGTGGGGAAGACTGGGGACAGGCTGTTTGTATGAGGTAGTCAGAGGCGTGTTGGAGACAGTTTTGAGTCAGGTGCAGATTCAGAAGGGGTGCCTTTAGGGATGACTGAGACAGTGTCTGGGGTCAGGTAAAGGGTTAAAGGGGTACTGAGGAAATCTTGGGGAGAATGTTTGAGACCCCTGTCCGATTTGAGACCTGTCTAGTGCTTAAACAGCAAATGACTTGAAATCGAAAAACTTGCAAGCCCTCCTCTTGACTCCCATCTCTCCCGACTACTCCCTGTCCTCCTCCCCCTTCTCGCTCTCCATCAGACCGCTCCCTGTCCCCAGGCTGGGTGGGGCTTGTGGGGCGCAGGGGACCCCGGTCCAAGCAGCCCTTCATGGTCACCTTCTTCCGGGCGAGCCACACCCCCACACGCGCGCCACGTGCCGCCCGCACCAGCAACCGCAAGAAGAAGCCCAAATACGACCTGCCGCACCCCAACCGCCTGCCAGGGATCTTCGGTGAGAAGGAACTTCAGTTCGCTCTAGCTGCTGCGGTCGTCATGCTGGTCCCATCTCACCCCCTTCGCTCTGTCTGTCCTTCAGATCACAACCACATCAACAGCGGCCGGCAGGCGTGTAAGAGACACGAGCTGTACGTCAGCTTCAGTGACCTGGGCTGGAAGGTAGGTGCACACCTGTCCTCAACACACCTGTTCACTGCACACCTGTTCAGTGCACACCTGTCCTCAACACACCAGTGCACTGCACACCTGTCCTCAACACAAATGCTCACTGCACACCTGTCCTCAACACACTTGTTCAGTGCACATCTGTCCTCATCACATCTGTCATTGCACACCTGTCCTCAACACACCTGTTCACTGTACACCTGTCCTCAATACACCTGTTCACTGCACACCTGTCCTCATCACATCTGTCACTGCACACCTGTCCTCATCACATCTGTCACTGCACACCTATCCTCATCACATCTGTCACTGCACACCTGTCCTCAACACACCTGTTCACTGCACACCTGTCCTCATTACATCTGTCACTGCACACCTGTTCTCAATACACCTGGGACTGCACACCTGTCCTCAATACACCTGTTCACTGCATACCTATCCTGTCCTGTACTGACAGGTCAGTTGGGGACTGCACTACATCTACACTACATTTTGTATTAATCTCAGGCCTGAATATGTTTTTTGATGCCTTTTTATCCAGCAATCGAATAACACTCTGTTCTAATGCAAGTATAAAACAGGTCTCACAAGTTAGAATAAGTCGTCTTCACCTTCCTCTCCTGCTCCATCCCTCCCTCAGGACTGGGTGCTGGCCCCCTCAGGTTACTCTGCCTTCTACTGCGATGGAGAGTGTATGTATCCCCTGGGCTCCTGCATGAACGCCACCAACCACGCCATGATACAGCTGGTGGTGAGTACTGCTGGTCTGCCTGTCTCTGTGCCTCTGTCACTGAGTCTGTCTGTGTCTCAGCACCTCTGTCTCTGCCCTCTCTGTCTCTGCCAATCTCTCTCTCAGTCTCTGTGCCTGTCTCCGCCTCTCTGTCTCTGTCTCTGCCTGTCTCTCTTTTCCTATGTGTTTCTGTGCCTCTGTCTCTGCCTCTCTGTGTCTGTCTGCCTCTGTCCCTCTGGTGCTGTGTCTCAATCTGTTTCTCTTCACTTCTGCCTCTGTGTGCCTGTTGGTCTCTCTGCACCTGACTGTCTTTGTGCAGTGTGATGTGAGTGCCAAGACCGACTGGGCAGAATACAACACTCATCAGTGACTGTTTGAAACAAACCACGTACTGTATGTGAGAATCTGTCTGAGAGTTATTTCAGATGATGGATTATTGGTCTCAGGTCTTTAATAAGTGTCAGGTGATGGAATACTGCAGCTGGGCTGCCTTTCTGAAGTTCCTTACTAAAAAAAAAGAGCTGGATTTAAAATCTCCTTCCTGACCGAGCAGAGAGCGAGCCATGTCCATGGCCAGGACAGTGCGTTCTGTCTGAAGCCCGTCTCACCTGTGTCCAGGTACACCTGCTGAAGCCGGATGAGGTCCCGAAGGCCTGCTGTGCGCCGACCAAGCTGAGCCCCATCTCCGTACTCTTCTACGACGACAACAACAACGTCATCCTGAAGAAACACCGCAACATGGTGGTGAAGACCTGTGGTTGTCTGTGACACTCCTCATACCCTACTCATCGTCTGCACACTGTACTCACAATCCACACACACCCTACTCATCGTCTGCACATTGTACTCACAATCTACACACACCGTTCTCATCCTCTGCACAGAGGACTTGCATATTTGTGTCCTGTTGATGTTGTACTCTTATACTACACCCACATTACTCATAATCCACATTGTGCTTGTTTTACTGACACTAAACTCACAATACTCAGTATACCCACAATACTCATGCTAAAATACCTACACTTATAGTCCTATTGTCCTTCTGACACTGTACTCTCAGTCTACACCCATCACACTCATGCGCCACAAACCTAGACTCATTGTATCTCAATGTACACTCCTCCTGATACCCCCACAACTATTCTCATTGTACCCCTGTTCTACTAACACTGTACTTGCACTCTGCACACATACACTATCACAATCTATGCACACTGTATTCAAAGGATCACACTGTAATGTAACTGCAGAGCTGTCTTCAAAATTACAAGACATTTGGTGGTTTTACCTGGAAAAACGAGTTTGTTTAAAGGGACCTCATTGTGTCTGCCTGTGTGTCTGTGCAGGGGGTCCAGTCCTGGGGGTCTGGTGTGTTTTCAAGTTCTCTAGACCTCTTCATACTACCAGCAACTTAGGTGGCAGGAGAGGTGTTTAAATCGGTCCAATTACGCCAATAATAATCTTTCATGCTCAATGCAAAGCGTTCTCAAGATCGTGTGATCTGCACTGCAGTGCGCATGAAAGGGACCTGGTTTGCTTTTTTTATTAATATGGTGTACCATGTATACAGTATAGCGTTAGTATATATATATATGTGTAATTAATAGTGATGTATATGTTTTTCTGTCCCCTTGTTGTAAAAATCATATGGACTATTGATTATTTTTTTGTCTATCATCTGTATCTATTAAACCATCTGTAATAATAAGAGTATCTTGACCACTCTGTCACCCCAATTAACACTCAAACAGCATTATTGGCCTGACCAGTGAACCAGTGTTGCTAAAGCCAGCAGTTCCCAGGGTAAGTTTCACTCTCGGCTCGTACAGCCTGGAGTTCGTTAAGTTCTTAATTACGTTGGTGTAGCCATTTGTCATTCACCCCCTGATCTGCTGTGTAGTCAGGCCACCGGTGTAGAATGACTGTTACCACAGTGAGGGACTGCGTTGCCCTACCACAAGCAGCTTGGGGTGACATGTATATTACACCTGCAAGCAATTCAAGGCACTGTAGTGCCACCATGTGGCCATGCCTGGGAAAGCAATGACATGCAGGTGTCCTCTGCTGTACTTGGAGGCAGTGACCACTAGCAGCACCAGTGATGGCTGTTACTGCACCTGTGTTGGAAGCTGATCCATTGATCCAGCTATTTACCCAGTTAAAGACACACATTTACAATAAACACAAAACAAAACCTTTTTAACTCATTTTTATTATGGTAAAAGTTAGTAGTCATTAAAAACCTCAGGGATAATTTTTTGCAGTTGATATGTACACAAGGGCAGATACACAGGATTGATTTATTTCCCCAGCCTCCCCCACCCCTTTCCAAAAGTCACAACACAAAGGTTAAATGAGAAATTTACTGTTAGGTCTGCAAACAAAGAAAGCTGCATCTTGAACCTGGAGAAATGGTGTTGCTTGCCTAGTAATCAAAATGAAATGCTCACATTTACACAAACCACCCTTCCCCAGAATCGTTTTAGTGGATTACACTCTGCGGCACCAGAAATGTGCAGCACATGCAGTCTGGTCCTTAGAGAGCCCCATTAGCTAAAAGCAAATTAATACTCCGTCTCTACACTGACAGGAAAGGAACACAGGGACGTTAAGGTGACCTCCGTGACAGACAGGGGAAAAGAAGGATTTTTTGTTCAAATAGAGCAAGATTCCTTACACTGAGGCCTAATTACTAATCAATTTCGCTCCAGCAGGAGAAGTGCAAAGGTGGAAATCCGTTTTAAGAGTTATTTTGCGGTCATGTAACGTGCAGTAGCACAGGCCTGTTCCAGCATTCCCTGCCTCCCCAGGACTTCGGGCTGGGAACCTTCCGGAAGACAAGAGGGGGGGGTGCTCACACAGGGATCTCATTACAGGCAGGACAGACCAAGAGGTGCGCTGTCGACTTCCAACACTGCTGGAGCTGGGGGGATACGGCCGAGCCCCAGGACCGAGGGGTGAGCTGCCCTACCCAGGGTTAAGCAGTTAAGCAGGTTAAGCAGGAGCGGGTCTCCTCTCTTCCTCCTGGACTGCAGGGCTGCTGGACTCCGGCCCCCCCACTGGCAAGAGGGGCAGCAGCAGTGCAGTTCACAGAGAAGGCGCCGGCCCCAGCCAGAGGAGCCGAGGACAAACCAGGACCCCTGCTGGCTGCAGCAGGAGCACACAGCCGCCATGACAGCCTGTAGGTGCAGGCAGGAGAGCAGCCACCACAGCCCAGCCCTGCCCCCTCACCGTACCCACAGCCAGATACACCCTTCACACCCGCAGCTGACCAGCGTCGCTCACTGTGCACCCCACCTCTTCAGGAACAACACTGGCAATTTCAGTGGGTTTTTTTTTATCAATGATTCAAGTGGTGGAAATGTTTTGGTATCTTTTATTATCAATAATAAAATTAATCTTGTTACATAGTGAAAAACACCTGAAAAGGCCAGGCTGAGGAGAGGTACGTATCTGCACATTTTACAAGGGAAGAAAAGGCAAAGTGAATTACAAACATCTGGACACCTTCACAATAAAAACTCTCAATATTACTATTTTAATATTGAGTCAAACAGAAAACAAACAAGCCTCAAGCAAGCAAGGCAGAACGCTGGTAACCATGGCCTGCTGGTTCTCAGAGGTGGTGCTTAATTTTTACTGACCTACTTAACTATTAAAGTAATTTAACTCTTAACCAAATATGAAGAGGCAGGACAGTAATAAACACGCAAAGCCCTCGAACTGCTCACACCCCTGCCAAAGCTAGCGAACAGCTTGTTTGGCAAATTCAAAATCAACTTCTAACTACGCTCTAAAAAACCAGAGAGACTCCTACGCTTCAAACGCACACAAGTACAAATGTTTCCCAGCACAGTGCTGGCACTCAATAGAGCCCTTCTCCCCACCACCAAGTCCGGAAGTGGGCGCCTCTCCCAGAGACTGCCTGCAGGGCGGCGCTGTAGAGAGCCGCGGAACACAGTATGGAGTCAGTCTGGTAACACTCCAGCTCCCAAGAGCGGCAATTTCCCAGAACAATCAACTTAGGGATGCAAGGGTGTGAACAGTTCAGGAGAGGAGAGACATTTGCTGCAAGATGAAATGAAAAATCAGAAACGAAAGGACAGGTGGCGTTTGGGCCACAGGCAGGTGTGGAAGGCAGAGCTACTGCTGGCGGTGGGTGTGTATTGCAGCCGGCAGAGCCAGCTACACCCTCCTGGGAATACCAGACACCCACCAATCCTTCCATTCCTGCACCCCTACTGAATGCAGATCATCAAGCCACCCTTGGGCACTCAGAAATGCTGCTCAGTCTCTCTATTTCCGCGTGCAGGCTTAGGCAAGTCGAGAGAGCACAAGTCGCGTCAGCCCCACGCTACAAGCAAAGGAAGCAAGGCATCGAACTGGACACAGAATCGGCTCCCAGCCCAGGCAGGGCTGTGAGCTGCTGTGCCTTTCCGAAATCCCTCCAGTGCCCCCCTTCCAGACACTGGATCAGACTCGGTTACCTGGGGCCATACAGAGCACCTCTATCCAGCGAGAGCCACGAGCCACAGGCGGCGGGGAAGAGCACGCCGCACAGGGCAGGCGAGGAGCGCAGGGACGTGAAGCTGGGGATCGGAACCGCCAGCCAGTGTCTCAGCCAGGAGAGGGGCAGCTCGAGCTCCTGGCTCTGCATTCTGTCAGTGCTTTCATCCACGAAACCTCCACTGAGCGCTTGCAAGGTTAAGGAGTAGCTAGAAAGGAAAAACGGACTTCGAATGGAAGGGAATGTGATGGCCAGGCCAGACGGCTGCTCCTCCTTCCTGGGGTGCGGGAGTGGGAGGGGTGGGGGTCAGGACTGAAATTTCATCACAAGAGAGGACCTCTGGCGGGACAGGCTACGGCACATCCGTTTCTCACCCACAGAAAACACAGCGTCAGGGGTGACGCCCCACCGCCACGCATGGCCAGAGGTGGAGCAGTTACCCCTGTGTCATTTCATTTCCTCCCAACCCCCCCACCCCCACGGGGTCACAAAAACGCGCCTGGGTCGGTGTAACTGTGCAGTTCTGATCCGTTCAGCTGAGTCTTCAAGGTCAGTATCGTGAAGCCAGAGTCTGAAATAAAAAAACAGACCTCAGTTCCTATTCTGCACAACCAGGCAGTTTATCCCCTCGAGGCTCCCGGACACTGTGGACGCTGTGGACAGGTGAAGAAGGGACCACAGCACTCCTGAGGTTTCCCTCTTTCACAACGTGCTGTTCTCCAGACGAGTGACTGTCCCGAGTCCGAGCGGCTCAGGGCATGCCCAGAGGGCAG